TTTGAGCAGAGCAAATTTTTCCTATTTTCAACTTTGAGAGGAGGAGATCTAGAAGAACATTCCCAATATTGCACGTTGAAATAAATCCCAGATACTTTCAGAAAAGTAGTTCTTAAGGCAAAGATGTAACCATGATTGGTTGTTTTAGGTAGTGATAGGAAAGATCCTGTTAGATCTTAAGAACTTTCTAACAAAGCAGAAATCCTGAAAGGAACCAAGGATATGTATTGACATTCTTGTACAGAGATACATAACCATCAGTAATCCATCATCCATTCAATGACCATCCATTGTAGAAACAAAGGCTGGCCAATGTTAGATGACCTCAACATATTCCCATCAAATGACAACACAGTTAAAATGCAAATGTACAAACAACACTGGCTATTTGGATATGAACAGAGCTCCAACATCTGTCTAAGACCATGTGCACAGCAGCAGGTACAGCAGTCTCAGCACACTCAGAGGGCAAGCAGACTGCAATGAACATGGATGCCAACAGTCAGTCCAAACCCAGATTGGAGATAAGCTCTAGATTTGGAGAAAAGATATTTCAAAGCATCACAACACATTGAATAAACCATGCCGAAGTCAGTTGGTCGTCAATGAATATAAACACTGCACAAAACTGAATGGCTTATAAGCTAAAAATCACCTTACCTAGAACATCCCATCCACCCTTACTAAACTGATGATAAGTGGATGAAGCCAGAGGCCTCCAAACAGGATCTCGAGCTGATAGAACATCCCACCCACCAAAGTTATAAAAACATTTTAGGTGAAATAAAAAAAAAATGCTTACAAGTGATTTTTTGAGATGAGAATAAATTCCAACTTTCCACCAAGGAAAAAAAGTCAATATATTTAGAATTTTTGTGTAATGAATGAAAAATAACAAACGAAATGGAGAAATTTCATTGAAGATATTCGGCCCTGAAAGTTAGGCTCTATACTTTAACTCTCTATGCAGTCTACGCTTCTTGTCAATCAGAAACCCAAAAGAACATCCAACCATTCACTAGCTACGTAAACAAGTGCTGCTCATAATTTTGACATACAACATAAAATTATGAGCCAGATTCTAGAAATAATAGTGTACCTACTTAATTACTATAATAGACAAGAGCTCATATTTTGGACTTTGCAATGCACCTGTCATGGGTAAGTACCTGCAAAGACATTTATAAGGGAGCAGGGAATGACAGATGACACAGACTAGCGACTGAGAATCTCAGCCTGGCTGTGGCAATTCCTGAAATAAATCTTCTTTTGATGTCTAGTCTGCACAGTCATTAATATCTCATAAGCACAAGCCAAAAGGCTTTAAGATAGAAAAAACATGTCATGCGTAATGGAAATAAAAAACTGTAAGTGGTAAATTGATATTTATTTTATTTTTGTTATCCCCAAACACCTGAAGTCATAATTCTTTCCTGGTGAAGGAATCTAGTTAGACTTCAGGTGAATGACTCATCTTTTGGATACAGAGTCTTTTAAAGCAACAGTTCTCCATAGTGGTAGGTAGAATTCCATTTTGAATCAAGGGTATGAAATTGACATTTTAAGCCAAGCAAGTATTTTACAGAAAGTGGTGTGAAAGGGAGAAGTCCCGAGTCTCATCTGACACCATTCCTTCCAGACACTGGAAGTTGATTCTATTAAGCATAGTCTCGCATCCCCTCAACACTGGTTCACATTCCATTCTGCTCTTGGGAAACCATATGAGCAGATGAGAAGAGGCAGATGTCCCCAAACCAGAAGTCTTCACCCATCTGCTATCAGCCTCTCACTCAAGTTCACTGATAAGCTCTTGGACACCTTCTCAAGACCCCAGACCTTGTTGTCCTAGGAAAATTTTTTAGCTTAACCAGTCTCAATGAACTGCCCATTCTTGCCTGTACATCTCAAAGTGGAAAACATTATTCAAGCAATGACAACACAGGTAAAAAATGCTCTGAGAGGTATGATTTGTGTACTGTGGGAATCCAGGGGAGGTGCAATTCCTCCTTTACCTGTTAGAGAAAACAATAAAATACAACCTAACAGGGCTGAGGAGGTATCTCAGTGGGAGAGCTCTTATCTCACATGTGGAAGGCCCTGGGTTTGATCCCCAGCACTGCACACACAAAAACAATGCCACATAACTTCCACAATCTTTAGCTTAGAGGGCCAACTTTGGAGCAGGCAGGATTCCAAATACTTTACACATTTACCTAATTGAATCTTTACAATGCAATGAGATAGACAATAATAAAATATAATACTCATTAGAGGCATTTCTAGGGGCTTTTTCTTCAAGTCATTTAATTCTCACATCAAATCAATATACATCTTTTATTTTTAAACTTAAACAATCATACATATGAGTGTTTTGCCTGCATGCGTGTAAGTGTACCTGTGTCATGCAATGTCCAAGGAAGGCAGAAGAGGAGATTGAATCCCCTGGAGTGAAGTTTACAATACATGGTTGTAGGCCACCCTGTGGATGCTGGGAACCAAACCTGGGTCCCTTACAAGAGCAATCAGTGCTCTTAGATGCTGAGTCATCTCTCCAGCCCCAAATCTATATACATCTTATCATCTACTTTATACAGATGAAGAAACTGAGCCGTTGAGAGGTTCATTAACTCTCAGAAGGTCATATAGCTAGCATTTGAAACCAGGTACTCGGGCTGCAATGCTCAAATGCTTAATCATGGCAATATACAACGTCACCCAACACCATTCTGCATTCACAGATGAAGAAATTAAAGTCACTGAACAGTGGTAGCTTGACTGCAGAGCCTCATTGTTGCCTCATGAGCCCAGACATTTGAGCTGGAATTAGTGTTTCAGGAGACAGCAGAAGAGTAGTCTGGGGTAAGAAGGTCTGTGTGCAGGCTCTGACAGCGGGAAGTAGTGTGGGGTAAGGAGGTCTGTGTGCAGGCTCTGACAGCGGGAAGTAGTCTGGGGTAAGGAGGTCTGTGTGCAGGCTCTGACAGCGGGAAGTAGTCTGGGGTAAGGAGGTCTGTGTGCAGGCTCTGACAGCGGGCAATGGTCTGCAGTGGCACAGTAAGTACTCTGGGGCTGTTCCACTTTGACTAACCTTTGAAGGAAGTGACAGGGAAGAGACTCCACGCCCAGGGAGACGAGAACATTCAGAGAACAGCAACCCTGCCACCTCCTAGGATTCTGCCAACAACTAGTCGCTGTCACATATTGTCAATTCAGCTTTTGACATAATCCAAAATGCTAGAAAACACTCGTTTCCTGTCTATGGGAGATTTTGCAGAGCTGATTAGGACTAAAAAGCACCATGGCCTGTTCCTTTTATCAGGAGTCACTGACAGATGCATTTACTCTTTGTGAGTATAAACGGGCCATGGTTATTCTGGTTAGCAACAAAACAGCAGCAGCTCATGGACCGCTGCCTGAGTACAACATGAGGGGTGCAACGGATACCCCAGATAACCCTGGAGCAGGGATGGAGTTGAAGATACATCACATGTTATGGTCTGTCAATATGTGGCATTGTTGTTGAATCTAATTAACAGGGCAACTTGTCCTGGGTTACCCTCATAGTACATATAAGCTAGTTCTTTCCATAAAATATTGCTATTGCCAGCCTTTACACCTGAGGAAGCCTCCACTGGGTAAACGTTAGGGCAACAACGCACTGGACTCACTGTGCAAAGTAGCTTCTGGTCAGCCTGTTTCCTCTGAGTCTCCTGCTTCTCACAGCCCAGTTTAAGACTCTTCCTCAGTGCAAAAGCTAATCTTGGGTATCAACTTGACACATCATGGAAAGGAAACCTCAACTGAGGAATTTCCTCCATCAGATTTGCCTACAGGCGTGTCTGTGAGGCATTTTCTTGATTAATAATTGATGTAGGAGGACCAGCCCACCATAGGTGGTATCATCCCTAGGAAGGTGGGCCTGGGCTATTTAGGAAAGGTCCCTGAACTTGAACCTAGGAGCAAGCACCATTCCTCCATGGTTTCTGTTTTGAGCTCCTGCCTTGAGTTCCTGCCTTGGATTCCCTCAATGATATACCACAACCTGTAAGCTAAAAGAAACCCTTTTCTTCCCAAATTGGTTTTGGTCAGTGTTTTGTCACAGCAACAAAAAGCAAATGAACACTCACAGACTACTTTTGTAGCTCATCAATAAGCTCTGGTGCCTGACCCAAAGGCAATTTTTGCAGGCTTATCTGCAAATACCTCCTCTAGTGGTGGAGGGTGATGCCATCATATTTCCGCAGTTAGAATTGAAATGCGAGGCATGTGAAGAACAGGAGAGTGGTGAAGCACGAAGCAGAGGCAGTGAGCTGAAGTCAAGGAACAGCCAGTGCCAGCGCTGACTGGAGAGGTGTGAGCAGGAAAACGTTGGTTGCATGCAGCTCTTTATTTAAAGAGACTCACCAACAATAATGGCATGTGCTGGCTCCCTCCTGCCCCACAGACCCAGCCTCTGCCCTCTGTGTCATAGGAGCTGACCTCTGAAGATCCTGTTACCTGGGGTTATCTTGCCATTGGGCAGTGCCCATTGGAGATGTTGCAGGAGACCAGAGGGCAGGAGGCACTTCTACCCTTTGCACCGATGCCTTGCACCACGCTCTCAGAGTGGCTGCATCTCTCCAAGTGGGACCTCTGTGATGGCGCTTTGCACACCTCCAACTCTCTCTCAGACTCCCAGAGTCCCAATGGCATCTCATCATTGCTAGTCTCCAGGTACTTGAGCAACCTACCTAGTTCCCTGTTTCTTTCTGTACCTCCACAAGTAGTTCCTTCTTTAAATCACGCCCCGAGCTCATGCTGGGGTTGATGTGTGGCAAGACGTAATAGACAACAGGTAACACAAAAATGAGTGGGATGACAGACCATCAGAGCAGTGTTCACGTTCTGTGTGGGGCCTGTGAAGTGGTATCTCATTGGTGGGGAGGGGGAGGCATATAAGTATGTGTGTGCATGTGTGTGTGTGTGGAGGTCAGAAGTCGACATCCTCTGTCACTCTCCACCTTATAAAACAGTGGTTAGATGCTACAAAGCAGGCAGCAATGTCTTAACTGTACACATGTTGTTAGGCCTGAGGGCTTCTTCCAGTCTTGTCAAAGGGAGTGCTAACCCTCTCTCTTTTCACACAACACAAGTGCCGTCACTCTCCCTTGTTTGTCTACTATGATCTTTTCACTCGCAGTGGCTTGAACTAGACTCCCTGTGGAGCTCCGATAAGGATACAAGAGACAGGGTGTCTCTTCCATACCTTTTCTCTGTGACATTTATTAAACCAGTTACCTTTAAACCAAGCATTTATTGAAGCCCTACTATATGTCAGGCATTATACTAGGCACTGGAGATAAATGAGGAACAAGATAGACATAAGCCTTAATCTTTATGGTCAAGGTTGAGGGAAGGAAGGGGAGGAGGGAAGAGGCAGGGCCTAAAATAGGGAAGGGAGCAGTAAAACATACAAACGTACCTCTAATTATAAACCATGCCACATGATTATAGGCAAATTGGAAGGCAATAATGGCTGGAGTTGCTAGTGGCCATGGGATTCATCTATGGATGAAGAAACTTCTTGTGGATACAGAAGAGAGAAGTCACAGAGAATGTGGAGGAAAGTGTGTTATGCACTTGCTTAGTAAATGTGCTCAGGCTGACACTATATACCTGGGTACCTCCAAAAGTGTGCCTTCTACTACTGAAAACATGATGCTTGCTTTTGATAATTATGTACTTGGCGATCAAGTTTTAAGATGGTGAAGATGAGTTCTGACACTGTCCTCACTCCCTGCTTTTGAAGCCTTGTAAGTATCCAGAGAATCTTCTGCCAAGCAAGGATTCCGGTGTTTGAAGCATTGTGAACTAAGGCTAAATGGAGTCGTAGGCACTGCCTGTCTCCAAGAAGCAGGAATAGTGGGAAAGAAGAAACATCATAGTAAATTTTACATCTGAAAAGATGGAGGTGATTTTAAGGAAGTTACAGGAAGACGATAAGCAGTTGGACCAATCCCAAGAGAGAGGCCTGGGTTGGACACAGGCCCCCCAATGCTCCCCTTTCCTAGGACACAGAGCATTTAGAACCCCCAGCACTTCTCCCATCTGTCTCCCATTGTCTTCATCAGTACGTTGCTTCCCCAGGAGTACAAGTGATGGAAGCAAATAGAGCATCAGAATTTCCAAGAAAGAAAAGGAGGAAAGCCTGCTTTTACTTTCTTTTGTTTCCCCAATGTTTTGAATAAAGCGAAGATTTATCTGTAGTTTGTCTTCTTGCTTAGTGATCCGATCTACTGGGGACAAAAAAGCATTGAATTTTGGGGGGTCTTATTTTGGGAATTTATAGCTTTTGATGTTTTTATGTAACATTCATGTAATAGTAAATGATTAATTAAAGTTTCTCTTATGTACCAAACATTGTGTTAGCTTCAAGGAATACAGTAATGAGTTAGACCCACATGGAGCCTAGCCTTAAGGGATTTACAATGTAGTCGGAGACACTGACAATTAAACTAGTAATTGCAATAAATTATGGTAAGTGTTACATAGGGTAATAAAAGGCACTTAAAGTCTAGAAAAGCTAAGGAAGCCTTGGGGGGGTTCTCTTTAAATTAATACCTGAAGGATGAGTGGAATTGGAATCTGGATAGGAAAAGGTAGTGAGTATTCTTGGCACCAGTCATACAAGCTTTCTCCAAATGTGATGGCTTCTTGTGCAAAGGTTTCTAGGTGAAAGAGAGATATATAGAGATGCTAAAAGAATTTCATTCTGGTTGTAGAAAAGGATGGAAGAAAAAGGAGGATGGAAGCTCCACCAGCCTTGAGAGCCGAGCTATGGGAGGTGGCCTTTGTCTGAAGGTCACTAGGAGTCCTTGAAGGTTTCTAAGTAAGAAGGTACATGATTTAGTTCCACATAGTAGAAAGGTCCTGTTTATTGCAATGTAAGGCAAGGCCCAGGGGATTGCAAGACTTGAGGAAGATGACTTTCGGGTGACAGTTATCTAGCTGAGTGGTGATACTGGGCTGGACTAGGATATTAGCTCAAGATATACACATAGGTAAAGCTGAGCAATTTGGGTAAGGCAGAAGTATATAATGATGGGCCAGATGAATACAGGAGGTGGATAAGGACACTGAAGGCTGCCCCCATGCTTCAAACTTGCCCAAGTCAGAGAAGGGTGATCCTAGAATGAGAAGAAGAAAACTCATTCTTATGTACAAGGAGTTGGAAGTGATTTTAAAGACAATAAGCAATTGAATCAACCTCTCTGGGAGTTGAGAGAGAGGCCCTGGGTGGGACACAAGCATGGAATTCATTAGCAGATAGATGGTATTCTGGTTTGAATATGAAACGCTCCCCATAGGCTCACGTGTTTGAACATGCGGTCCCCAGCTGGTAGTGCTGATTTGGAAGGCTGTAGAACCTTCAAGACTTAGAGCCTTGCTCAGGAAAGTAGGTCACTAGGGGCAGGCCTTGTGATTTTACAGCTGGTCTCTACTTCCTGTCTGTACTATACTCTAGTTCCTGACTACGAACTCGATCTGACCAGTTGCCTCACACTCCGGCTACCTCACCTTCTTTGCATAATGAACTGTATCCTCTCTAAGCCCAAATAAACCCCACCTCCCTTAAATTGCTTTTTGTTAGGTGTTTGATCACAGCAACAAGAAAAGTAACTAATACGGGTGGTCATGAAAGCTATGGATACCGATCATCTGTGCAGAGAGAAGGCACTGAGAGAGCTCAGCATGCAGGGGATTCAAGAAGAGCCTGGAAAGGAACAGCAGGAGAGCATGGTGGTGTGCATGAAGGTCATTCCACAGCCCCAGAGTGCAGGCAGTTTTACCCTAGAGCCAGGCCACTGGTGAGTGAGTCCCGGCTACACTAGTCAATGAGATGAGTTTCACCAACACACTCTACTTCCTGAGCCTCAGTTTCCCTCATTTTAAAGCAAAAACAATAACTACTATAGCACCTACCTGACCGAATTTCTCAGAGGAGATGACTTAATGTGTGCAAATAACCTTAGAACTGGGCCTATCATGTGCCAAGTCTCTACCAGGAACTTATTTGAAGTGTGTCTTTTAGTAAACAACTTGCAGTGTTCATTTATTTTGTAATGAATAATATCCCCAAGTAACAGAAAGCTCATAGCAATGCACTGTTTATACCAGCTGACTTTATATAAGGTACTTAGGGTCTTCCAAATAAGCCTTGATTTTAAAAAATTTTTTATTTATCTTACTTCATGTGTGTGAGCAATTTGCCTGCATTTATGTAAGTGCACCCATGTTGTGTAATGCCCGAAGAGGCCAAAGGAGGGTATCAGATCACCTGGAACTGGAGTTATAATCTGTTTTCTTTTCTGCCATGTGGGTCCTGAGAACTGAACCCAGGTCCTCTGCAAGAACAGGCAGTGCTCTTAATCACTGAGCCATCTCTCCAGCCCCAAGACTTGCTTTTGAATATAGCATTTACTTAACAAACATCTCTCCATTGTTCCTTTAATTCCCCCAACAACTGAACAAGCAAGACTTGTTTTTCCATGAGATTAACTTATCAGAGGTTATATGGAACCTAATGTCCAAATGGGAATTTAAACCCCGGTTTTCTGATTGCAGGTTCACGAGTCACTCCAGGTTTGTCCTTTTTCTGCCCCTTCTTGGAAATATGTTTATGGACTCTCTTTCAATAGCACTCCAAAATGTTCCCATTTTGTTTTGAGATGGCTTCCACCTACCATTGCTCCTGTCAGCTTGCTGTGTATACCCAGTGCCATCCAAGAGAGTGTGGGTCAAATGACTTTAGGACATGATATTATTAACACCACAGCATCTTCCCATCTGTGCAATGTGAAACTCCAGTTGTTAAACCACAACTGCAAATTCTAAATAACTGTTCAAACTATGACTTGTAAAGTATCCTGCCTGTCCCCATTATTTCTAATGAACTGCTAGGAAAAGAAAAGCAGGCAGTCAAGAGACCAAATAGACATATTTTGGATTCTTTTCATTTTACTTCCATATAAGATAATCTAGCAGGTTAGTGTGTGTGTGTGTGTGTGTGTGTGTGTGTGTGTGTGTGTGTGTGTACACTT